ACAAAATACAAAGACCTGCAAATAGAAATAGGACAACTGTGGCAAAAGAAAGCAAAGATAGTACCAATAGGAATAGGCACCTCAAGTGCAATCCCAAAACTTCTAGAGCACACTTGAAGACCATCAGTATTGACAAAAATCACCATCAATCAATTGCAAAAGCCATCTTTACTTGGAACAGCTTATATCCTGCAACAATACCTTTAACACCATCAAACAACATCTCCCAATCCCATGTCCATGGAAGGACTTGATAGATGGCTAAAAAGGCCAATTCCAGTCTAAACATCTGGCTGACTGTGCGACCAACCACCACTACCATCATCAATTATAAAGATTAAATGTAAAAAAGAAAAAGCCAATCAGGATGGGGCAGAATGAGCGACAGAGAAAAATCGAATCCTGGCTTCCAGCCTGCTAACTACATTTCCCAAAATGCCAAGCGAAACGAGCCGGCCAACGTGCCCAACTCCCGGAGGTTTCTTGCCCCCCGCCCACAGCGCGATGTCATTGGGTCGTAACTCCGAGTGATCCCTCGGTCGGCCCACTTCGCGCCCAATCCCGTCCAGCCTGGGGCTCTAGGTGATGGCCGCGGCTGGGATCCTCCTGGCCGCCGCTCTGGGGGGAGGCTTGCTTTTCATCGCGCGGTGCTTCTCTTCTGTGGCCCGGAAAATTACGCTGAGGATGCCTGCCGGCGGCCTGATGGAAGGCAAGACTGCGATCATCACCGGAGCCAACAGCGGCTTGGGACGGGCCACGGCGGCCGAGCTGCTACGGCAAGGCGCGAGGGTCATCATGGCCTGCCGGGACTGCGGCCGCGCGGAGGAGGCCGCCCGAGAGCTCCGCGCCGAGCTGGGCCTCTGCTCGCGGGGGGGTGGCGAGTGCCGCGGGGAGCTGGTGGTGCACGAGCTCGACCTGGCTTCGCTCCGCTCCGTGCGCAGCTTCTGCCAGCAGGTGCTACAGGTACGGGCGGGTGGGAGCGGAGGGGGGAGGAATTTAACCCCTGGGGGCTCGCCCTGCGGCAGGAAAAGAGGGAGGAGAATGCAAAGGTCGCTTCCTCTGACATAAAGGGGCTCCTGGAACCCCTCTTGCGTGTGGTGGGCAAGATCCCGCTGGAACGCCTTGTGAGCCTGGAAGGTAAAGAGGGCCCTCGCCCATTGCGTTCTGGTCCACGGCCTGAGCAACAACGTTTCTTATGCAGCAGGTTATGCTAGTCAGAGTCTGCATTGCAGCCCTTGAAACGAAACACGGATCTTCTAATTTGATGCAGGTTTTTACACGGGATTCTCCTGAAACCATAATAAAATAATAGATTATGTCTGTAAACACCTAGTGCACATTTTAGGCTCAGCATAATGGAAAAGCCTGAGTTCTAAATACAGAACCCCTTGATTTCACATCACTTTTACATGGGCTTCATCATCTTTCCAAACAGGATGCATGCTAATAATTATGTCTGATTATTTTTGGCACTGCCATATTGCAAAAGTACAAATCTGGAGAATGGCTGTTCTTCATTTGCATGAGTTTTACATAGGATCAATGATGACCATAGCAAAGTCATAGACCATATCGTCTCCATGCCCCAGAGCTGAAGATTTGGGAGGCATTTGATGCATGTATACTTGAATCTCATCCTTGTGGATCCTCATAATTTTTTCATGTAACCCTCATAAAATCATGAGCGTGTCCATCTGCACATAGCGAGCCATCACTGTCATGAATATCATATGCAGGTTCTGGCAGCATGGCACAAAGATGTAAGTCTGAGGCATAGATCATCATAGATCTACATGATTTTTTGCATGGAATCCATATGAGGCCCCATCCCATTAAAGAACACATTCATGTGCAAGCCATGAGCCAACAATGATCTCACACTGTTGACACTGCTGTGACACAAAAACATGTTAGCCACATGAAACCACAACTAGATAATAGAACACATCTGCCTACATACATTGAACCATAACAGTCATGATGTGACCATTTTTGGCAGCATGGATTATGACAGGCCCATGTGATACAATCTACATAAAACCACTATTAAATCACAGACCACATTGTAACAATGTGACTCTGTGGTGCAAAAATGTATATTCAAAGTATAGAACCTTGTTTTTTGCCTGATTTTACATGAGCTGCACTTAAAGCTGTCAAATCACAGATTACATCCATCTGTATGCAGTGAGTCATAACAAATACACTTCCAAAGATTTTTGTGTCATTGTGGGGTTGAGAATTTCAGATCCATTTGTGATGGTTCATTGTAGGTAGACACTGCATTCAGCGTGATGGAGTTTTCATGAGGATCATATGAAAAAATGTGTGGATTTGTGGGGGTCCATGTCTTAGAACTATATTTTTGCACTAGATCACGTCTGGCTTCTAGTAGCAGCCTGTAGTTGAAGCAGTTAGTCCCAAGAACAAGCATCTATGTTCTGATTGGTAAGATTTATTAAGAAGTAGGTTAAATAACAATGCAATAATTCCAGTGAGCACTTTCAAATGAGAAGTCTATACATAGGCAAAATATAAACAAGTTCTGCTTTTTTTTTCCTTGTTTGCTTCCTACGTAAAGGAGAGGAGACTTGTCTGCACCTGTTGATTGTTTTGAAAACAGCTACTGGACACCCTAATAGCATGTGAACCAGCAAGTACAGGTGGTACCTAAAACAATCAGCTCCATAAGTGGGATGACTCATTGCTTGTAGATGGATGTGATCTGCAATGTGATTGTAGTTGCATATGGATTCCAAGTAAAAATAATGCGACATTAAGAGGATCCATTCTTTAGATTCATATTTTTGCAGCATGATGCTGCTGAAAATAGTCAGATCCATGATTTTTAAAGTGTACTATGCAACCACACAACTGATTTACTGTTTAATATTGGATTCTAGTAGATGCTAAAGAAAAATCATGAAATCAGGAGGATCCTTTGTGTTGGATTTTAAGGATCCATGTTTTAACCAGCCTTCACAAAATGAGCATTGTTTATCCTCCCCTCATCCACCCATGAGCTTCAATAAGGAAGGGTGTGTGTGAATTGCTGAGAAAGAGAGTGTATGCTTTGCACATGTAGACAGAGGTCTCAGATCCTTCCCTTAGTATCTCCAGAGAAACCCTTCAACTTGTGGGAATTAATACACAGCAGATGTGGAAAAGAACAACACGTTGCATTGTGTGTACGCATGTTGGTAGGCTAAAATTGGTTGTGATTTTCCACTGGGAGTATGCAACATCAAGAGACTAATTTTTTCAGACATTGCTGAAAAAACAAACACAACCAAAAACCCATCTGTACTTGATGAGTGGACTAATGTTCTCCCAATTTCAAACAGTTTTCTTTTGCTCTCTTTTTCAAAATGGCATTTGAAACCCCTGTACTGTCTACATTATATATAGACCTGAGCATTCCTGCAGTGTATTGGGGAGTTAAGGTAGCTATTTCTGCAAGCTGTATGGTAGCAAACAGCCTTTCCAGCATTTATATTAGCAGTGCAGAGTGTTTTGAGTGGCGAGGACAGGATGTGAGACCTGAAATGCAGACTAGCGCAGAAGAAGACCTTGTACAGTTGAATGCCCCTTAACCTCAAGCACCATTTTGATACTATAAAATTAAGACAGGCACAATCATCTGTTGATTTAAATCTGGGTAGATATGTTGGTCATTCAGGCTTCTTGGCTTCTTTTGTATACAAATTGTGAGATGTAAATTATGTTTATATCTTAAGAAACGGGAGTGATTTTTTAAAAACATTATCTTAATGAAATAGAGAGAAGACTGTGCATCACATTAAGATGTAGGGATGTTTTGATGTCCAGGGCATATGAAAAGAATAAAAAAAAATACTTAGCAAATAGATGTGTGGGCAGTGTTGGGTTTGCCATTGCTTGTGATAGATGTTCAACTAATAATAGATTTTATCCTGCTGCAAAAATAGGGAACTTGTGCCTGCTTCTAGCAGTTGCTCTACTGTGACTCTTCTGGTCCTAACTGGCACAACTAATAGGGAGGAATGCTGGGCAGTCAGAAACTTGTGACCCTTCTAAGTGTTGCTTAACTAGAGCACACAGTACACTTCATCATGCTCGTGGTGGCTGGGGTTCCTGGGAACTGTAACAACTGGATGGCCACACATTCCTAATCCATATGCTAGTTCCTACAGCCAACACGAGAAGCACAGGTTCTCAACTGTCTTCATCCATGGGAACCCACTAGGTGACTTTGAGACAGTCACTCTTTCTCAGCCCAGCCAATTTCACAGGGTTGTGTTGCAGTGGAAATAAGATGGAGATCCCCATGTAGGTTGCTGAAGAAAAAGTGCAATGTAATTCTAACAAATATAACATTAAAAAAAAAAAAGCACATAAGAATCAGGTAAACATGAAGGAAGTGGCAAGGACTGGGTGTGTTACTTCTGTGTTGTGGTACGTGGCTTTCTTTAGACACACTTCCTTTCTTTCCTTAGGAACTATTTAAGGTTGACAGTCTTTCAAAATTGTGCAAGTAGAAAATAAAAAACAGGCTCATCAAAGATGCTTTCTGAACATGGAATATTAATCTATTAATACCACTATTTCTATTTTAGAAGACGAGTATTTTTAGTATCTCACATTTTGAACAAAGATATAAACAATTTTCATATTATATTCATGTCGTACTTGCCCCTCTTTTTTTATTTCTTTTCTTTTCTTTTGGTGCAGGAAGAGCCGAGGCTGGATGTCCTGATCAACAATGCTGGGATATTCCAGTGCCCTTATATGAAGACAGAGGATGGTTTTGAGATGCAGTTTGGCGTCAATCACTTAGGTCACTTTTTGCTCACAAATCTTCTCCTTGGTCTTCTAAAAAGTTCTGCTCCCAGCAGGATTGTAGTGGTATCCTCCAAGCTTTACAAATATGGAGAAATCAACTTTGATGACTTAAACAGTGAGCTAAGTTATAACAAAAGCTTTGCCTATAGTCGAAGTAAACTGGCCAACATAATGTTTATGAGAGAGTTAGCCCGGCGCATAGAAAACACAGGTGTCACTGTGAACGCATTACATCCTGGTATTGTCAGAACAAATCTAGGTAGGTACATACATATTCCTTTATTAGCCAAGCCCCTTTTCAATTTGGTATCTTGGGCATTCTTCAAAACTCCATCAGAAGGAGCCCAGACTTCTGTTTATCTTACCTCTTCTCCTGAAGTAGAGGGTGTATCTGGGAAATATTTTGGAGACTGCAAAGAGGAGCAATTGTTGCCCAAGGCCACGGATGACTTGGTTGCAAGAAAACTGTGGGATATCAGTGAAGTGATGGTGGGGTTATTAAAATAACCAAGGAGAAGCACTTTACTGAAATAATGGATAAAGCTATTTTTGAGACTTACTTTTTTCCCTCCGTACCTTATTTCCTTGGTGTTATGAGACACTTACTTCAGGATTCACAGCAATCTGTGTTGAATCTTGATTCTTTCCACTTTTTTTTTAAACAAAAATCTCAATATAAAGAAAACTAATATTTAACAAAAAGAGAGTTTAAGAAAAAGTGTTAATATATTTCAAGAGAGATGTACAACTATTCCATGAAAATGGAAAAAAAAAAAAGAAGAATGGCTATTTTCGAACTGTGTGCTGAGAGTTCAGTGCTTCATATCTGAATTAGCTGTGCATGGTACTATATTTGAAATGTGTTGTAGCATTGTTCTATTAAAGAAAAAACTAAGAGACCTATTTTTTTATGTCTCATTCAGTTGTGGCATATATTTCTCCTTTAGTTAGGAAGCCTAATCAGAAACTACAAAGGGAAAATCTGGCTTGTGATACCCCATGCCAGCTTTTCTGATCTGCCAGGAGAGTCTTCTAGTGCTCTATGGTTGCATAAATGTTAATGCTACACCATCTACATAGCATTTTGATTTGTAATTCTCTCCCTGAATCTTATTCCCAAGTATTTGTTTGTCTAGCTCAGTATTTCTCAACCTTAGCCATTTTAAGATGTGTGGACTTCAACTCCCAGAATTCCCCAGCCAG